GGGACCAGCTGTCGACGAGCCATTGCACGAAGCTACAAGGAGCACTTCCACAGACTGAGCCGCGATTCCTTACGATTCGGCTATCCTGTGCTCTATGCCTCTATGCATGGCGATTGGACATTGCTGTCACTGGCGTCCTTGCAGTACACGGCAAACTTCAGAACGTCTCCAAAAGCGTAGTTCTGGAGCAGGCCGGTGAAGTCCCAGGCTGGCTCCGCTCCCTGCCGGAGGACGGAGCGCACACACGCACACACCTACTCACTTCTTGAGACCTGCCTTGAGCACTCCTGTTTGTAATCGGGTGTACGGCTTGTTTGCGATCTCGATGACACAGTACCTGCTCACCCCGACTCTGTCCCATGCCACAGCGCATGACCTGATCTATGCCCGAAGATGAGCGCCAGGTATTGCAGGCACAGGGATAATGCTGCAATTGAAGTATAGGTCTTTTTGCGCACGCTGCTGAACCCGACAATGTAACGCTGCCTCAACGGACAGAAATGCCTGCACGGCATGGAAGGCTAGATCGGGCGTGGAGCACGTATCCAGGTTGGCCCTTTTGCCGTCGCTCTCAAGTCCTGAGTAGGAGCCGTTGCATCGTGTAAGGGACAGGCACATCGCCATAACCTGCCTTCCGCGCCGTCAACGGTCACACCCACGATAGGTGCCACCTTCCATGTCGAGTTGGATTTCGCATCAGACGACACGGGGAAGCGACAGGAAACTCGGAAAGCTGCCCCTGTCTGGTATTGCTCACGGAGGAGTTCCATCTTCTGCTGCTGCTCTGTTTGATCGGCCAACCTGATCTTACCCAGAAACACGGCCTCCGCAAAGCTTTGCGTTCTGAGGCGGCGACTGCTCCTGAAGCTCGCGTTGTGCGTGGCCCTTCGAATCGGAGAGATCGCGCCTCGGCCCCACATTGGCACATGGGTCCTAGCGATACCGCCTACACTGCCTACACCAGTCTCAGCCAAGGGGCTGAAGCTCAACGGCTCGTTGGGCCTTGAAGTCAACACACGATCTTGAAGATTTCATGACATACGGGCCTACGGTTCATTCTGCGAATTCATGCTTCCCCAGTGGCCATCTCCAAGGCTTTCTCGGCAGCGTCTTGCTGACGTTGCCGCAAGGCCTCCACCTGCTCTGCACGTTGCCTCACATTGACGTTTGCTCCAGAAATTTCGCGAAAGCTCCAGAGCAGCACGCAGGCACAGCATCAAGCTTTCTTGCTGCTGCCGTAAACGGGCAGTCTGGAGAAGAACTCCCGGCACTTTCAGCACCGGCACACTACCTGCTACCAACCATGTGGGGGAACAGCTGAGTTCTTCAGCATTTCACCCACCACGAGCTCCATCAGCTCGCGCTTGACCGGGAGCGGATGGTCGATGCTGGTGCCAACCGATGTAATGATAGTACACCGAATTGTCTTTCCTTGATTCTTCTTGTCGACAGCCATTTTATCCATTAGCTTGTCCAGTGAGAGGCCTGGCGGGGGCACCACTGGAAGGCCGTAGGCTTCGAAGCATTTGCGAATCTCCGGGATGGCTTCAGCACTAAGGTGGCCCATCTTATGAGCAAGTTCGGCCTCAGCCACACACCCTATTGCAACACACTCTCCGTGCAGCATCTTTGGCGATACCAGTGCTTCAATGGCATGACCAATTGTATGGCCATAGTTCAAGGTCGCTCTAAGACCCGTCTCCTTTTCGTCAATGGCGACGATCTCGGCTTTGTGGGCTACTGCCTTGTGCAGAACGTCCTGTAACAGCTGCGTGTTTAATGACATGATGGCCTCAGGATTCTTGGCCATGGTTCGGAACAGCTCCGCGTCTCGAATGACACCCATCTTGATTGCTTCTGCCAGGCCCTCTACGACTTCTCGGCGGCTCAGCGTCCCAAGCACAGTTGGATCTGCGAAGATTATCTTCGGCTGGTGGAAGGCCCCGACCAAATTCTTCCCGGCAGGAACGTTCAGAGCCGTCTTGCCTCCTACGCTGGAGTCAATCATCGCCATAGTTGAAGTCGGAACCTGAACGACAGGGATACCTCTCATGTATGTTGCGGCTGTGAAGCCGGCGAGGTCACCCACAACACCGCCACCCAGTGCAAGGATTGCAGAGTCCCGCGTGCACTTGTTTGCCAGCATGTAGTCCTCCAGCGGATCGATTGTCTAGAAGTCTAGAGATGTCTAGAGCACAGTGGCGTGAAGATCTATGCCTCTGAATGCTTCGAACTGCAGGTCTCCTCGATGGCAGACTTTGTATCACGATTCTTCGACGACTCACCAGATGGAAAGGCATACCTCAAAACACGGGTGGCGCCGTCTCCGCCTTGAGCGGCAAAGGTGTCGAATGCCTTGACCAAGCGATCGCCGTAGTGACCTTCACAAAAGCCCGACCGCAAACTCGTTCCTGCGCAAAGACGACTTCAAACAATGCGGAACTGAGGAGGGATCTGTCGACGGTCTTATCACTCACAATAACCTCGGCAGACAAGGAAGGAAAACCATGCTGTGACATCCTGTTGATCTGAGCGCGGTGCCAGTGCCGCTGGCTTCAATCCGGCCGAGTGCAGTCTCGAAGGGATCTCATCGACGAGGCCAGGTGCAATCAGCACTCGGCTGTCTCCGATGACACGTATCTCCTGCCAGGCTTTCCAGGCGGCTTTCAGCGGCTTTCAGCGAGGCCCCAGGCCGCTCCCAGGAGACCTGCCTTCACACGAGTTCCGGCAGCTGTCGGTGGTGGTGACCTGGACCTGTCCCGCGCAGGCGCACCGGCCATCGGTCAACGCCGGCACCCAAAAATCTGCGATTGAGCCAGCTCAAAGGCAGCACGGCGGTTCAAAGTCGCGAGAGCCCTCTGCTGCGCTTCACACACTCGGCCTGTGCAGAGCCTCTGCATCCATTGGCCTCATTTCCTCGACAATCCAGTCAATGCCCTTCTCCTGGACATGACGGAAACTCGACACCCAAACCCTCGCTGGTCAAGAACGAGGTCCTGGAAGGCCTTGACCAGGTCCTGCCGAGTCTTGGATTCTCCAGAAAGCCCTGCGCCAGGGCAAGGGGGCCCCGTCCTGAAAGCTCCAGTTCCTGGCACACGCCAGCAGCTCGTCTTGATGCTTTCGGAGATCCTGGCTTGAGGCGAGCGCTAGGCCTCACTCTTGCGAGTTCACTCCAGATCGCAGGCCTCCCAAGTGTACCCCTCAAGCTCCTTACGCAGCTCGTCCATATTTCCTTAGAGTCAATTCGACGAGGCTTGTCGACAGGTGCCTACCTGCTATACCCCTCCCTGCTGCGACGGAGTGCGTCGGGCTTCCAGCACGTTTCATGAGGCCCTCTCGGCGGCCCAGAGCATGAAGGAGGACCCACGCATCGTGTGGCTGATGCCCTGCATAAGGCATACGCTGTGTCTACATGCTTTTTGTGGCTTTCGGCTTTTGAGGTTTCGTCCTCGTCCAAGCAGTCGGAGGAAGCGGCCGTCCAAGGTCTGGAGGAGCGGACTTGCCAGCAGCGCAACGGGCTCAATGCTCGAAATGCTTTGGCAGTAGAGGCCCGCTTGGTAGCGACTGATGTGAACGAGCTGCCCAGCTCCAGTTCGCTGCTGGCGTAGCAAAGCCATGCCCAAGCCTCCCAGGGCATGTTGCGCCACTGCCAACTCGCTCAGGCCCGGTGGCATGGCATTGCCGTTGAAGGCCTGGCACAGGCCACTTGCCTCCCAGAAAGCATGTGCTTCTTGGCCTCCCTTCCGGCCGAAGGTCAACTCCTTTTGGCGGGCCATCTCATCACAACCCCATGTCGTGATCCAGAGGATGATCAAGTGAGGGAACATCTCCCGCATATGTTTTGGCTCAAGACCCCAAGCAGAAAGCGCTGCCAACGGCAAGTTTGTGACTAGAATCGTCGCTTGAGCTAATGTCCTGTATAAAGCTGCTTGTCCTGGCACCGGGTCCCCCCTGGCATCAACCCCTCCCACTCCCGAATAGTTCACCACGCTCACACTCTTTCTGGCCGTCAAGTCTTGGTAGAGCTGGGGACAGGTTCTCTTCCAAGGGTCTGGTCTCTGCGGTCGCTCCAACTTCGTTACGCGAGCGCCTAAGTCGGCCAGGAGCGCCCCGACTGCAGAAGCGGAGACTTGATACTCGTCGCTGATCTCAATGACCGAAACCCGTGCCAGTGGTAATTCAGACGAAATTGGACAGCCTTGCATTACACCAGGCATCAGCGATGCTGGATCCTTGACAGTCCATCTGATGTGTGCGTCGGGCTGCGATGACCTGATCGCCGGTCGGATGTGCGCCACACCTTCGACGTCGAATGGCGTCGCCAGCATCTTCTTTGTGTCTGGCTCCACGAAAAACCGCAAATCAGGCTGCTGTGGCTTGTGCCATCCAGTCAGAGCACCAAGAGCTGCACACCATCGTCCTGCCCTGAAAATGCTCATCTCAACTCGGTCTCCGGGACTGCCACACCGCCGACGCATCACCGCCATGCATGCAACTCCAAACAAGGCGGAGGCCGAGACTGCTGCTGCAAAGCCAGCCGGGCCCAGAAAATGTCCTAGCTGCTCGGCCATTCCCGACAAGCAAAAGAATGCGCCGGCATCGTTTACTCCCTTCTTGGCGACATCTGCAAGCATCCCGATGCAGGAGGTATGTATGTAAATCAAGTGCGGGAACCTGCTTCGCAGAGTCTGTGCGCTGAGTTGCATGTCCTCCAGCTCATCTGCTGGAAGATCTGTGAGGAAGACGTTGCAACCAGTCAAGAGGTCCGATCGGAGAAGAGCCATTTCTTCGGGATCTTCGGGGTGGAGAGGGGCAAGACGTTTACCCACGTGGAGCTGCCGTGGCACCAGATTGGCCTTTGACTTCTCCAAGCTATCTGTATCCGTCGATCTCAGTGGCCTCTTAGGGGCGTTTCCTTTCTTTCGCGCAAGAAGTGCCTCCTCTCCGAAAGCTACACGAATGACCTCAGCACCGGATGCAGCCATCATCTGGCCGCAGAGTGCGGCAGTCCATGTTCGGCGGGTAACTTCCAACACCCGAACACCTTCCCATGGCAATGCATGGGCTTTTGGCTGGAACATGCGAGGCCCCACTTGGTACTCAAGCTCCTCCTCCGCAGCTGCCGTTTTCTTTGGTTCTGCCTCATGTTCTGCCACTTCAACCGCTGTACCCAGTAGAAGCTCAACCTCTACTTCGCCACTTCTTTCTGGAGTTGGGAGCCGTTGCCGCCGCCACTCGCCAGCCACGAGATTATGCCGGCCCAATTCCACAGACACTTTACACAGCAGTTCATCCCTAAACGCGCTTACCCTCATGACCTCAAACTGCAGGCTGTCGTGAACCAACTGAAATGTGAAGTCATTCCCATCAACCACCATCTGACCATTCTCAATGCAAGGGGTGCGAAAGCTTTGGGGTCCAAGCCGAAGCTTCACATACAGATCTGCCAAATCTCCTGGCAAGCCCGTGCTCTGCTGCGGAACACTAACTCGAAGAAGTCGTACTCGGAGCGCTTGCGACGAGTGGACATTGGATTTTCGGTGCCCCCTTGCAGGGATGCGGTAGGAGGCGCTGCTCTGCAGGTCCTTCTTCGCGGGCAAGAACCCGAAAACTCCGAACGACTCCCGCTCTCGCGTTTCTGGGAAGTTGTCGTGAGCTTCCAGCTCGAAGTTGTCGTAAGCCTCACCTTCTACGGACGGAGTTGTCTCGAAGTGCGTGTCCGGCAGCGGCAATGTCTTCTGCGCCTCGAGTCCCTCGCTTTCAGGTCTCGCAGGGGGCACTTTGGCTCTAGGCTCAGGACATCCTTCCGGCCACTCCGGGCCCAGAGTCTGGGAAAGCTCTGGAAGATGTTCTGGAAGGACGGGTTGCAGATCCTGCCCAAGACCAGCGATGCTAGGTGCTGTGCACGGCCGATTCTGTCTCTTTGGCTGCGCCTCTGCATCCGGCTCTTCGGGTCTCTCCGAGCTGCCCTTTCCGTCAGGGAGTTCTGCAGCCGCTTTTTTCTTTGAGCTCTTCCCTTTCGACCTGCCGGAGATGCGGCGGCCATAAGTCGAACCGGAAAGTGATACGATCCTCAAGTCTTGATTGCATGCATCGGTCCACCTCTTCTTTGTTGTATCTGCAGTGGACTCGGTAGAGGAGGTTGCACCCATCTCGGCAGCCAGTGTCTCAAACAGGAACTGCATTGGCACCAGTCGAGATGCTAAGGCCCCGACAGCCCATTCAACTGTCTGCAACCCATGCTCGCCACATGCTGCCGCAGACCAAGTTTCACCCTCTGATTTCCCAGGTGCATTTCTTGAAAAAGTCATGAATGGTTTCTGCTGCAGTGGGCTTGAAGCTTTTCTAAGCCAAGCTTGGGAAAGCCTCTGCCGAACAGCTCTAGGAGGAGCTGCGAAAGGAAACTGCGCTGGCTGCAAGTTAGAGTCCGTCAGCGGTCTTTTGCACATCCATGGACGGCCACCAAAATCTGCAGGAGCCTTCAAGCTGATGCTTGAACTGGATTTGGGCCTTGGAGGGGCTTTGGACTTGATTGGACATCCTGAGTCTGCCCTCTTTGGCAAACCTGAAGAAAAGGACATGCACTACACGGGCATGCTCCTGAGGGTCGCGGCTCGTAATAAGATTGAAAGCTGGCTGGCTTGGAAAATGCTGCGTCTGCAGCTACCCGCTGCCAACTTTGACTCGCCAGCCCTCCTGCAAAAACACTATTGAAGTTGCTCTTCTCATATCATTGACCTATTGGATGCATTCAAGGGCTGCAAGTATGCGCTTGTCAAGCGCTTTCGAGTGACACCTTCGTCAGTGTGTGCGCAGCTATGCCAATGCCTGTCAAGATTCACGCAAGTGCAACGACTGATTTCGTCCCAATCCATCATTCAAGCAAGAAGCGAACATGTGCTCTGCATCGTCAGATCAGTAGACTTCCGTGACCTTGACAAGAAGAGGCTTTGTGATGGTTTACATAAGCTCACAGCGACTAGCTTCCACATAGCAGTCCATATAGCAGTGGCCCTGGCATACCGGCCAGCAAGCTGCAGGCTCTCCATCTTCTTGTGGGCCTGCTCGTTCGTGAGACCTGCAGCAAAGGCACAAAATTTTCAAAGTGCGCCACGGGACTTCAGGAACAGCATGCCAGCCCTCAGAAGAGCGCAGTCTTTGAACTCAGAGGTTTTCGGACACAAGAGCCGATTCGTCTACTAAATACCATTGCCATTCATTTTCCGGCTTTTGGATCGCCGCACCTCCCTTCGTCTCCATGATCTTCACAAGTGCGGCAAAAACGTCCTCCCACGATTTTGTGTCAAATCTGACAACATGCCATTTGTCCACTGCAGGACTGCACCTTTCAGATGTCCGGTGCTGAATTGAGCAATGCACACCCATACTCCAGACACCTGTCGGCGAGTGACAGTGTGGGGCACCCCCAACCAAGCCGAAGACGCAGGTCCTTCTCGGGCTGCTTCGACCCACACAGGAAGAAGTATCCATTGGAGCCTTCCCTGCCAAGGTGCTGCCAAATGTTAGCCTTAGGGTGACGAAGCGGTGGGTAATTTCAAACTGTATTGGATCCGTCCGGTTGGCTTGGGTCGGGGCCGCTTCCTCCATGATTTTGTGCTGGACGTACACCTTTTCCTTCTGGTCACGGGACCAGGCGTTGCAACATTTTACAAGGCCCTCCTTCTCGTAAGCCTCCATCCTCGGTTGGAGGCAGCAAGTCTTCAACGCTGTTGTGACAACACATCACTGGTAGTTCTGCATCGTGTGAGCACCAAGCCCATGCATGTCGCAAGACGCTGGAAAGTGCTTAGAAGCAATCACTTGCTGTATGAGTATGAATCCCCTTCGATGCCGTGATCTGTGGCTGCTGCTCATCTTGGTAGTAGAACTCGGCCTTCTTGTGCCGGCCACCGAAGAACAAAGTCATGGGACCCACTCGGGCCCCTTGTGACTTCTCGTGCTTGCGCTGCTCGATGTAAGCCTGCAGCATAAGGAAGTGTGGCGCAGCACGCTGCAGTCTTTTGCCAGGGCCCGTGGCTCGGAAAGGCGCGAGGCCCGTCCCCAAGCCAGCCATGAAGATCGGAGCAGACTTATCCTGCATGTGCAATATAACCAACGCTCTTGGCCCGCACAAAAACTAAGAAAAACAGGCTGTCCTCAGGGATCTGCATCACAGAGTGGGTCGCATGGGCAATGCAGATGGCCCCAGGCCTGCAACGCAACAACTGGAGCACGAGACACTCCTCTTGCCCGCTGCTAGGCTTTGTTCGGCTGTTCGGCCAAAGGCCCACTAGATAAAATCCTTGGTTTGGTGGGCAATCCTGTAGACTGTCCTATAGGTGACGGAGTAGTGGCAACAGTCGTGGCGAAGGCGCCTTTGGTTGCTCTTTGGTTATTGGCTGCATATTCCAAGCTGGCAGCGACAATTGCAGGTTTGCCTGAGGAAGGTCATGAAGCTGGAGCACAAGCCAAACTTGGTATCACCACCTGGCAACTGAACACATCAGTCACAAGACGTGCTCGAGCACTAGCAGTAGCAAGCCTTTCGCTTGCCAGTCTTCGCGAACAACCAGCAGCTGGCATTTGCCGGGCCGGAAGTCACTGGAGGAGCAAATCGAGTACACGCCTGTCACTTGCTGATTGCCCGGCACATGCGCTCTTCGACAACCTTTCTTGGAGCTGAGGCTTGTGCGCTGCTTAATGGTCGGCAGCAGCTCGACATACTTCTCCACCTAGCGAAGCACTGTCGTACATTGAACGGTCAGTCTATCTTCTCAGCATCCGAGGCATTGAAGTTGGAGGCAGAAGAACTCATTATTACTCCTTGCTGTAAGCTGCTGGCCGGAATCTTGAGCCTGAGCGTTCAAGCACACCCCGTGAAGCATCAAGCTTGCATTGGACATGTCGTTGGTTGGAAGCAGAGCTGCGACGGATACTCGAGGATGTAATCGGCATAAGTGTAAGCCCTTGCTTGGCGATCCAAAAAATCTTCGGTCTTCCTTTCCAGCGTCAGTTCTGCAATGGCAACCTTCTCCATGATATCCTGCCAGGCATAGCGGCATGACCATGAACATATCATAGCGCACTGCTGATGTGTCCTGTGCAAAGGGGAAAAGTTTCTTCAAGAACTCGCGGCTCGGTTTCCCGAACAAATCCAAGTACTGAGAGAAGAGCTTGTACACTGTCCTTGCTCAGAGGTGGTCACAACCGCCGCTTGATACCACCAGCTGACACTGGCAACATGTCTGAGCTCGCTGCGTGACCACGACGGTCCCGTCTTCAGATTGCGGCGCGATGTCTTCCACCGACACTAGCTCATCAGGATCGAGCTTCATTTTCGTCAGGAACTCGGTTACCTGCACCAAATGCAGACTGACGCCCGTGCCCACGTGGCGAGCATCTCACAGCTACAGAGCCTAGCACCTTGTCTGCAGGATTCAGTGCGTAGACGGACAGAGCTTTCCCCATGCTGCCATTGACCAAATGTTCCAGGCCAGTTCCTTTGACATCAACCTGCAGGTACATGTGAAGGCATTTCTCGCCATCGCGTGCCAAAAAAATATAGCATTTGCGGGCCTCAATGTGGAAGCAGGTGCGGTCATAGTTGTCGGGGGTCAACAATTTCCAATCCTGCACAACTGGTTATCCCCCTTACAGCTTCCTCGCAGACGCAATGAACAAAAGCAAAATTGGTCCGTAACCCGCACCAACTCACCCTGAGCAACGTCCGGTCGTGCCCTCAGCAGCGCCTCATCTTCAGGCCGCCGGCGCATGTTGTTCACATATGTTATTATTCGGTACGGCGGCATCTGACGAGCCTTGTACTGAGGTTGGAAGGCAAGAAGCCGAGACAAGTCTCCGACCTGTCGCGGCGCCAAGCCGAACAGAAAAACTTTGGACATGAATTCACCACCCAAGGCCTTGTTGATCGTATCCGCGTTGATTTCCGCACCTTTCGTCTTGGCTTCCTGGTGGTGCTTGTATGCCATGGCAGACTTCTGGGCCTCCACCTCGGCATGCATACAGAATTTGGCCCCCGCAACGAACCAGTCAAAGAAAGCAGTTGGCAAAGATTCCAAGACCCGTGCTCCCATGATTTCCTTTGCCTTCGGCAATCCGATCTCGGCGGCGCACTTTGTCTTCGTTTGCTCAAATATTAAACTCAAGCTGCAGTCTAAACCATCAAGGCCAAGGTCTGGACCAGCCAGGCTGGTTGGAATGGGCGTGTGGGCAACACCAAAGGTGACGCTGCCTTGCGCGTGCCACCACACAGCTTTTTCTGCACCACATATGATGCAACGATTGCCTCCTCCATTGGCGCCATTCGAGCTTGGGCCTTCAGCGCACTCGCAAAATAAAGCGGTAAAGAGTACGGCATTCACCACAACAACGAATCATCCGGTTCTTGCAAGCTGCGATCAACAGGCAAAACGGCTGAACAACACAGGGCCGCAGCTTAACTCTTGAGCCGCGAATGCACCGGGTGTACACGAAGCAGCTGGTCGACTTGCCTCTGCCATTACACACATCATGAGAACTAGTGTCGTCGCTGGATGCAGCTATAATGTATGTGGATCGGTTAATCGTAGCTCCAAAACGTTCGGCAAAACAGCAATCCGCCTGGCCGCACGCGGCTGCCCACCTCCTAGCCGATCAGGACTGCGCACACAGACTCCCAGGTGGGGGGGAGGGCGAAGCCTTGCGCGTGCAAGTGTTCAGATGCCGGCACATCCGAACTCGTGAAGTTAGGGTGTAGCCGCCACGAGACAACTGGGGCTCGCCTGCAAAGTATCCCGGCAGAATGGTCTGCCGCTGAGGGGTGTTGGTTCGGGCAGCGATCATGCGCATGGGCGCAATTCTCGGTGAGGTGTGGGAGAAGAGGCGAGCAGGTAGTTGGCCCGCAGCGCTGCGCAGAAGCAAACAACAGCAGCAGCAGCAGCAGCAACAAAAGCAGCAGCCATGTGTCCTTCAGATCCTCAACCATGGGAATCCGGTAAGGAGCCGGGGCAGGGCGCCTGCCCAATGGTCGGTGTGGTGACACAGGGGTCGTCCACACGGCTGGGCAAGCAGCTTGCTCGAATGCATGCGTGCATCCGGGAGCTCAACGAAGTGCAGCGCAGGTCGGGAAAAGCGGTGGCAACACAAGCCCGGCTCGGGTGGCTCAGTCGCGAGCGAAGGACGGCGCGACGGCATGCAATTTGCAGAAACAGGCCGTGCAAGGAGCGATCAGCAAAAAAATTCAGCATAACTCTTGTTTATATATTGGACGGCCCGCTCCCAGTGGTGACCCCGGAGCCCGGAGGGGAGGCCCAAGAACCTTGACGGCTGGACAAATAAGACGAACCTCAAATGGCTACGGCCCTGTTTGGGTTGGCAAGTGGGTCACACCAAAACAGCAGCGAGTGCCAATGGTGCCACCGGCAAAATATTGCCCCCGTGGCGCGGCCACTCAATCTGAACCGAGAACCTGCCGAGCCGGGCAATGTTTGTGCGTGCTGCTTTCGATGGCCGAGCACCCGGACAGCCCCTTTGCAAGAGCTAGCCACCGTCCCCCATTTCTGGTTGGAATGCGCGTGGCTAGGGATAGAACGACTTCACGGCATTCACCTTCTTCCGCACAGCTTGGACGTCGGATCCACTACCTGCATGCTGTGATCGTGCAAACAAAATGCAAAACCGGGCTTGATGGTGACACGACAAGGGAAGTGGACCCCGGAGATGCTTATGCAGAAGCTGATGGGCCCGTGGGGATAACATCTTTTCGATTGAACACCAACAAGTCGTGTGCCCCTTTTTCGAAAACGTGTGTGCTCGGTCATACCCTGTCTTTGCCGCACACCATATTGCAAGTTAGATGCGACGTCAAGGGTTTGGATCAATTGCGAAAATTTAAACGGGAACCGGCTAATGGTGGAGGCCAACGACTTGTCACCTGATCCAAAAAATGGATGACCTGATTGACCACAGCAGCGGTATTATCTGTGCGACGTGCGACACCAAAGTTGGGCATGAGCTGGTGTCCGTCCATTGCGTTGAACATGATGACGTCGGTGCGTTGCATCTTTGAAACAAGTGAACAAATCCTACGCGGGCAAGGTGTCTGTGCAGGTTGTCGTTCTTAGCTCATACATACACAAACAAAACTAAACAAAAAAACACATGCCACACCTTTTCCATGGCCAGTTACAAGAATCTGAAAAACCACTGCCAAACAAGGGCAAACCAAATCCTGGCAAAGGGGTAAGGAGCAACTCAAGACTGGCAATAATGGATAATCATGGGATCAAGTCATGACGATGTCACATGGGCAAGGGCACCATCACAACCCCACATGCTAGTCACAGATGCTACACAGAAGACGAGCATCGGTCATGCAGGAGGGCAAATGTCATTACTTGAAAAAAGAACCCACAAGGGAAGGAAGAAAAGAAAACCAACAAGCATCATCGATCGGATGCGTGTGAGTTCTCTCCTGGTAGGCTCCTGTGCTGCATCACTCGGCTTCCTTGATTCCGCGATACAACACCAAAGCACATCTCACAGGCATCTCAAACAGAGTATAAAGCGAACATTCACTTTTTGTTGAGTTTTTGCTGTTGACGCGGTCCCTGTGCTGGTCGTCCACATCCAGGGCCAGACTACGTCAGCATGTGGGATGTCACTGAAAGGGGGCAGATCTCCATCCACATTCGCTGCACCGGAAGGCGGAAGGGAAAGGAGGTTGGTCGCGAAGGCGCGGGCAGCGGCAAAGGCGAGCAAGGCGGACCACCAAAGCACGCACGCAAATCTCTGCAGTGGGGATGCACGGGCACAGCGGCGGGCAAGAAGCCGGAGGAAAGTAGCAACTTCGGCGCACCACCTGCCGCAGGTTTCTATGCCCAGCAGGACGAGGCGGCAGCGGCCTGAGCTGCGTAGCTCAGGATAAGCGCGCTCTTTCGCCTAGCGCGCGCGGCGCGGCAGTACACCTGCCCTCACGCGCAGCGTGGGCCGCCAAAGGGCAACAGGGGGTTGATCCCTCGGCCGCCGAGTTGCTGGACTCGCAGTCCAACCCCTTCGCTGCGGGAATCGCCGTGGCCAAGCCCACTTCCCCCGAACTGGCACTAGCATTGTCACACTTCCGAGCGTTGCTGTGGCGGTGCTGCCTCTGCCGCGCGCTGTCGCTGCAGACGTCGCCAGGACTCGTTGGAGGATCACCTCGCTGCCATGCCCCCCGCTCCGGCGTGCTGCGCGCAAGAACAGGCCGCGTGTGCCGCCAGAAAGGGTCGCGGACAGCAACAACGAGACCAATTAACACGGCAGCAACAGCCGGCTCGGAAGACGAGCTTGTGCGAGGAGGCAGGAGACATCACAAAGAAGAGTCAAGAACCAAGCGGAGGACTTCGGCTGTATCGTTTGGCCCCGGTGCCGCGGGACGGTCTCGGGGATTCTTCCCTAGAGCTTTGATTGAAGCAGAACAGGAGCAGGTCTGTCAGCATCGCTGTTCCTATGCACAACGCCGGGCCGCGGAGTATTGCGTCGATTGCCCACCTTTGTACCACATGTCCAAGAACGCAACGCCCACACTCGCAGGACAATTCGCAAACACATCTTACAAGTGAGAATGGAAGAACGCAAAAAGGAAAAAATTTGTTAAGCCGGCGCGACCTCAACATCCATCGCACGCGCCTCGATTCTCAAGTCGGATGCCTCCCCTGGGACGGTGGAGCAACATGCGAGAGGCCAACAGCCCGGCTCCAGTTCGCTGCAAGGGACAAATCACACACACACACACCCACCTGACCAAGTCAAAGGCAAGCCGCAAGCACTGCCGCAAAACGGCCTTGCAGAAGTGCGGAGGCACACGGAATAGACAGCACGTCTGCGCCAGAACATCCTCGGCTGAGAAACG